ATAGCGGATTCAGCGCTACACTTGCTTCAATCAAATGTGGCGTTTTCAAAAACACTGCGTTCAAAAGTTATATCAATGTTAAAACCAAGTGAACAAGCCAATATGACCTTGATTCACTGTTCTGTGTGCTCCCGTGGAGGCGCAACAGAGGGCAAATTGGAGTCTCACGATGCGATCTAATAGACTCTCAGAAAGCTACTGACACCCTGCGATAATTATTCCCAGCCCGTCAATTAGAAGTCTGACTGTGCATATGTACTGTGGGGTGCAATGCTAATAAGCTTATTTGCATTTCAAGTGCACCGAGGGGTTGCACTTCCTTCAAGGTATATAGCATACTTATAGCTATTTTCTCAGCTATCAACCTCCTACATAGGGCTGTGAATGAACTTCTCCACCAGAGATCCAGCTGACCACAAACACGACCCGGCCTCCTCCACATCTGTAAGTCCTTCTCCTTTCTCCCAGTCCCAGCTTCCATATGTACGTTATATGATAAGGAGGAGGGGCAAAACCCTTTAACTCTCGTTTTATTGTTAACTTAAGTCCATGGGTTAGGGCCACATACATCACCTATCTCTATGTGTAAGTAAATTGAAAATTTGCTAAGGCATATATATATATGTGAATAACATCAACACATCAATACAACATCTATGCTGTCCTCTTCTGCCATCACCCAGTGGCTTAGTGGTAAGGAACCTGACTGGTATTCCCAAGGTCTTGGTTCGATCCTAACTGGCCCATTCTTTCATAGACATTTCCAGCAGATGTGATGATTGACATTCCAGTTCTCCATGTGATTACGATCCCCTATACTGCTTCATTACCTCATATGTAGAACAGACATTCCCATATATTTTGTATCGAACTGCATTAGTTGCTTCTGTTCTTTTGTGACCTCTGTGTGAAGAATATAGAAAGAACCCAGAACTCACCGTCAAACTTATAACTTAAAACCTGAATGCTCCTTCCTCTCCACCAACCATTCAGACTGAGGACTCCTACCTGTATGTGGTGATGGAGGACTTTGTCTCCCAGACAGAGGGATTCCTGACTGTGAGGAAAGGCCAGCTGGTGGAGGTACTGGACCAGGGAGGAGGAGGGGGCAACTGGCTGGTGGTGGCTCTGGCTTCTGCCCCTGGGGATCTGGAAGACGAGGGGTTCCTCCCTGCTCGTTGTCTCCAGCCAGCCAGCAAGAGTTAGCCACACATGTTTCCATCACCCGTTACATTTCTTTTTTCACCAAAAACTGTGCCTTCCTTGATTTGTATAATAACTTGTCATCCTTCTTATTACTGGCAAGCAAAGCGAACCTACCAAGTTTTCTGAATGTTTCTATTATAGTTATTGAACATACTGTACACTCTGTGAGAAATTGTCACTAGGCAAAATGTGTGTTGCATTCTAGTAGTCTGAGTACGTAGTATGTTACTGATCCGTGCATGAGATTCATGACATGTCTTACAGTGGGAGTGTCTCGTCCGTCACCAACGGACACTGCCTCAAGTCGCTATGGTGACAAGACCACACCCCACTCATCACATGACCAGCTAAAGTATCCCAGTGACCGGGGATCACATGACACCAGATCTTCAGCCATCACTTCCTCCTCCAAGAGAAGTGGACGCTCACAACAGGTATAGTCAGATTGATTTAGGGGGAAACTGGTTTTACAGCTTCCGTACCTGAAGTGCCATGGATGGACCAGTTATTAATTTTGCAAACACGAGGCTAGAGAAAGATGTGCTCCTGGTGAAACTCGCGAAACAGGCCTGATATGTATGTGTATGACGAGCGCTGCACATACCATAATACTTTACGTTACGTCCAAGAAAAACGGAACTACCTCAATAAAAAATATGTTGATTCGTTCGAGTTGTACATTCTTGATTGTTTCGCCATTTCCCTTTTTCCTCTCCCGCTACTGCAGCTCATTTCACAGCTGGTGGAAGATGTGTACTACTCCTGTGAGGACACCCCTCAATCAACCGCTAACGAGGGTCTCCTGTCGCTGGCATACGGCCAGTCAGTCGAGGTCCTGGATGCCAGTGGCGGAGACCTGTGGTTGGTCAAGACCACTGACACTGCCTCAGGCAAGACATCCGAGGGCTTAGTACAAAGATTCTGGCTCACTCCAAAACCTCCTCCTCCACGGGAAAATGTCACCCTGGTTCAGAATGGCACTGAACCCCATCCTCCTCACCAGAACGGGGACACTGGAATGAGTGAGCTGCAACCTGGGAGAGACACTGATAGGGTTCAATTGAGGGGTCACCCCTTACCTACCTCGTCTGCCCCGGCCGCCGTTTTACCTGGAACTCTTTTCGGTGTATACGAGCCTCCAAAAAGCATGATATTTGGGAAACCAGAGGTGAACGAGGGGGACATCCCCGTCATAGAGGACTCAATCAAAATATCTACGCCCACCACCAAACAGGCACCTCCAATGATATTGGAACAAGCTCCAACCCCTCACAAGTCAGAGGAAGAGGCAAAGACGGCCACGGCAGCTGATGATGAGCTACAGAGACTCCAGGTAGCGTCAGTAAACTCGCAGGTCCAGCTGGACAACTTTGACCCTGTAGAGATGTACGTGGCAATCGCTGACTTTGACGCTGCCGAGGATAGCAACATTTCGCTGAGGGCCGGGGAACATGTTCAGGTGAGCCAGCCTGTGGGGTGTCTGCAGCTGTGCATCACATGACCAGTCGCTTCAAAACGGCGAGAACATTCCTACCATTCTGTATTATTGGGGAGTGAAGCGATCCTACCTAGTTGTCTAAATTGTACGATTTTTCGATAATCCGACAGTCGAGAATTGTTGTCAATGCATACTTCTGAATGTAAATCTGCTCAAATATCCGCTCTTGGATTTGCTCCCAAAACATTTTGTGTAGATGTGATCATTTGTGGTCCAAGCCAAACTATTCTAGTTATGTCATTCTGATTTTCCTCCTTTGTCTCTCACGTTCCTTTCTGTTTCATTGCAATGTACCATCCCCTCCATGTGTTTTAACTCTAATTTCTCCCTGTCCCCCAGTTGATGGACTCGTCCAGGTCAGACTGGTGGCTGGTGTCACTGCCGGAGTCAGGGCTGTCTGGCTGGGTCCCTGCCGACTACCTGGAGAAGAAAACACTTGAGCTGGAGGGAAGGGTGGCCTCTCCCAGACCGGAGCCATTCCACGATGAGACTGGCGAGATTGAGAGGGTCCTCAAGAGGTGTGTGACGTGGTTTAACTAGTATAATGGTCAGCGTGTTGTGTGAGCAAGAGAAGGGGGAAGATATTAAGAGGTTTTTTTCTGAATGGGATTGTGTTTATTAGCAAACAACGCAAGCTCTATTTCTCACTGTCTCCCTGGGAATGGGCGGTGTGTTTTTCGTCCTTGAGAAAAAGAGAAGTGGGAAGAGATTAAAAGGTTTTTTCCTGAGCTGGAAGGTTTGGATATCAGTTTCCTGCTTGTTTGTTCATGTACAAGCAACACAAGCTATTTTTTCTCACTGTATTAACCTCTGTCTTTCCACTTCTCTATTGTTAACGAACAAACAATGTTTGTTAGCAAAAGGGAAGTGGAAAAGGATAAAAACGGGATTGTGTTTATTTACTTGCAACACCAACTCCATTTCTCACTGTAATCCTGGGGATTTATGCATAGTATGCCTGCAAATATAAACTTTTTGGGTAGTATGCTCTACACTTGTTGAGACTCACGCATTATCCATCCAGATGTCACCACTTAACAATTGAGCAACTACTATTAGATGCTAATGCCAAACTTGTCCCATTCATATCCTGCTGTCTCCCTAGGGGTCACCGACTGTCTCAGATACAGCTGTCTCGTCACAGACTCTACCAGTCCCCATTCCTGGCCACTCCCCCTAACACCGTCCCCAAGAACCCACACCAGCTCAAATGGAGGGGGTCAGTCCATTACTGTGTGTATTATACCATACCACCCCTTCCTAGGATACCTATTTCTCTTAGTGTAGCAATGTTAGTCTGTAGTAAAGGCATAGTGTAGTAGGAGGAAATTCTTCTGCACGCTGATCCACATACAGTGCACTGTTATATGTATGCCTCTGGCTGAAGGTGCTACATATCTGTGTACTGAACAGTTCATCTCAAAGGCCATGCATGTTTTCTGTACTTACAGTTTGTGTAGTGTAGGGTTCTGTTTTTTGACACTGTGTTGTTGTTTAAAAAGTTCCCGTCTTACTGTATTGGGCGCAGGTCTTCTCCATCTCAGTGCCGTATGTGGCGGTGACAGAGATACTGGCGCAGCATGCCAACCAGCTGTCCCTGGTGAAAGACCAGCCAGTCCGAGTCCTGGATTGCCACCGCGACGACTGGTGGCTGGTCCAGACCATCCCCGACAACCTGGACAACAGGACCCAGAACGGAGGTGGACCAGGGCAGAATGGAACCGAGCCAGAAAAGCAGAACGGTATATTCTCTGCAGAGGGATGGGTCCCTGCCTCCCTCTTACAGCCTTCTCCTAACAGTGAGTAGTGATGAGACTGTGATGATGTAATTGTCAGGAAGGTGTTTAAGTTGTTCCAACTTCATCTGCAGCTGACTTTACATCAGAGGGAGGACCAAAGAGTGCACCACCATTTGCTGTAAGTTAATGAGCTCACTATTACGTATGCACTTTTCGATAGGAGGAAACCTACACTTTCGCCACTTGAGTTTTGCTTGATGTGTGGGGAAGATTCATACCTGCTTAGTGCATCTGCATATTCAGTCGGTTTCCCTCAATCACTGCTTCTCACTTACACTTACACTTTCGCTATAGTGTGCATAAGGTTCATTTTATTCTTAAAGCATCTACTCAGTTTTAGTCGTAGGTCTCTCCCTATCACTCCTCCCCAGGCTGGTCACAATCAGCCACTGTGGGTAGTGCTGGCAGACTACCCCGGTGAGGAGGAGGGGACGGTGAGGGTGTGGCAGGGTGACCTGGTGGAGGTCATCGACATCTCTCGCAACGAGTGGTGCCTCATTCGCCCCGTCCTCCACTCTGAGGAGACGGCAGGGAAGAAGGAGGAGGAGGAGGAGGAGGGAGTGGGAGAGTGGGAGGAAGAAGGATGGGTCCCCGCTGGGTTTCTTAAGCCCTACAGTGGAGGAGGGTTTGGTGAGTTTTGCTGATTAAACGTTAACTATGTATCAAACTTACTTGAGAAGCTGTGAGCATGCATGCTTATTGCTGGCCTCAACAAAGAATCAATGTTCGCCATAAGTGTACATATGTGTGCGCATGTCGTAGAATGTTGTAGGCAGTGTATTTCCGTCACTCATAGGATGTTTGACTTTCCGCAGTTTTCGTCCTGAAAAGTAGGGTATATGTGCAGGTGTGAGTACACAGCGTTCGCGTTGTGCCCGCAAAAAAGAGCAAAGCTGCTAAAAGTCCTAAAAAAGATACCCTTGAACGCACATGCGAAGAATAATTAGTATGTGTGCACACATGGATTGAGCTGTTTTACTGCGCGAGGAAAAGTACATGTGTGCAATCCTTGTAATAGCATGATGAATGCCTTTGTAGCAATGCTGGTCCCTCCATACATACCCATCACTGAGAAACAGACAAAAGACTACTGCAACTAAACCACAATAACTGTATTCAATAGTTAACTTCTTTGTTGACTACTCGCCCAACAGCCTACCCATTCCCAAGATTTGCTCCTCACATCTCAACTGATGACGAGAGTGACGAGGAGGGGGAGTCCCTGTCGGGAGACGAGACGGAGCCCCTCCCACTGACCCCTGAACCCAACCTCACTCCGTACCCTGACCCAGAGAGAAGAGCCGAGGCCGCCAAGAAACTATGGTATAATACATGATGTCAAACCTCTTCCTTTTTCCATATTAATGTTATTGACTAACTCAAATAGCATCAAAGTCACTAGGGCCATTCACCACCCACCCCAAACACTGGGCGGAGCTAGAACGGTATACACGACAATTAATGGAGGTATACTTTCTCGTTTCCAGTTTCATAGTGTCAGAGCTGGTGTCATCTGAGAAGGACTATGTGGCCAGACTGGAGTTCTGTGTGCAGGTCAGCACGCACACCACACTGGTTATACATAGATTCCACACATGACGTTTGTTTCTGTCCGTACCTCTTGTGTATACTTCAGTCACAGTGTGTGCTCAATAATTGGCTGCTACTATTCACATCATCATTTATTTTATCCGCCAATGTATAACTGATGAATAATATACCTTTCCATTATCCTTATGTAGAACTATATAACTCCGGCCCAAGGAGCGACAGCCCCCAAGCCACTGCAGACAGCTGAACTGTTTGACTACCTGGTGAAGATCTTTGAGTTCCACCGCGACAGCTTCCTCCCCCAGCTGGTGGCATGTCAGTCGCAGCCGGAGGATCTGGGAGGTGTGTTTGCCTCGTCCGAGGAGAGTCTCCAGGTCTACGTGGCCTACTGCAAGGCCAAAGCCGCCTCCCATGCTCTGCTGCAAGAACACAGAGGGTTCTTTGAGGTAAACATATGTGTAAAGGGGTTGTGAGGGTTAAAATCCAATAGCCATTGATGCTAGGTGGCTCTTGGTACCTGATGTGTTACTGCTGAGTCCCTAGCAAATGAAAAGCACTTGAAAGTGCATAACGCTCGCCACTTTATTCTTAATTCCAGCTGCCAATGGCTACTAGCTACACTACATCAGTTTTTGGCACATGCGCGTTCAATACTAGTTACTACTACAGCAAAGTGAAAAGCACTGGTCTTGACAACCCTCACCACTATTCCGCTACATACTACCATAGCTACACTACCTCTGTGACTCCTTCACCGAGCGGATTCACTGGGGCGTGTGCTGCTCTCGCTTCACCGGCAATCTCGATCCTACTCAACTGTACCATCAATACAGGCAAACCAGCAAATCTTCTCCACACGCACAAAGCATATAGCATCTAAGTACAACGATGGTTCGTATCTCTATTTGACGCACACTCACCTCGGCAGCCGTCCATTTCACCAGCTTACCCGGCCTTCTCCGCTCCAGAATCTTATTTTACCATGCATTCCTGCTAGTTGACCACTATATGTCCACGTTTGACGCTCAGAGTTGCCGCGGTTTCCGAGAAAAACGGTGGACAGACGGACGACGGAGACCCACGCACACAAACACACACACAGACAGACCAACTGCAATTAACGCTTAGCTGACTGAGAACTAAACTCACCTTGTGGTATAGCATTGCTATATATATATACTTACTCATTTGAGGGACGAGTCAGTTTCCGTGTTCAGTATGGAACACGGACGCAAGCCGCAGCGCGCATGCGCTAGTCGGCAGAGACCTAGCGCATGCGCTTGTGCGCCCACGGCCATAACAGTGTGCATGCACAGAGCCGTGTCACCGGACTCGGAGTGACGCGCACGACGCGGACACACCTAGTGCTTGGACCGAAGATTTCGCCATAGCGGAAACCCTCCACTGGAGTGAGGGCGCGCACGCCAACTCTCCCTCCAAGCACTAGATCGATCATCAGTGTGTGACCCACGGGCGAACCTCAAGAGATACGGCAATACCTAATGACGAGTGAAAAACAGAGATAGAAGATGATGAGACACACACAGAGATAGGTAACTAGATGCTGATGGAGACCGCGGCTAGCGGCCGACTAGTCTAGTTGTTGGCAAGGCGGGACGAAACGGAGGCGAGCGACTCCCTCGGGAACTGCACGTACAGCTGATACGCCGGACTTTGCCAACGCCCCAAAATTATTATTAGCGAGTCCTGCACGCCAGCGGCAGCCGCCGTGCTCGCTGCACCGCTCCTGAAGCTATGGCCTGAGTAGGAGGTTGGGTCGACCCATGCCCACTGAAGTGCGGCCCGGACTTCCCGCACGAGCGCTTCTCTAGTTAGCAGAGAGTTGTTCTTGAAGCGGAACAGAGGACCCGGCTCCACGCCTCGAATAAGCAATATACGCCAGCAGAGCAGCAACGGGGCACAGCTCGTTGTCCGTCCTGCCCTGGTACACATTGACGCCCTGGCAAAACTGGTCGGTCTTAGAGGCTTTGATCCGGACGATAGCGGCTTTGAGGTTCGTCGACGAATCGAGCGATACGTCAGACATGGATAGATGAACGTCCGGATTATATGTCGACTGCGAGGGGACCGTAGCCTCGCCAGAGCGCAGGAAGCCATGAAAACACGTGCAGCATGCGGCCCACAACATCTGGCGGACGAAAAAAGCGCCTTGGGCCTCCCAGGAGTGTCTGAGGGTCCTCGCTGTGATGGGGAGACGGCGGCGCTGGGGCGCGGGCCCTGACGCCACCTGTACCCGCTTGATCCCCTGAAGGACGTAACCCAACGAAATCATACTGCTGATCCCGGGCTAGGAGCCGATCGCCGCTATCTGAAGGTGACGCACGGCGGATAATTAATTGATCTGTGGGTGACGCCTTGAGCAGCTAAATGAGTCACAAACAAACACAGAGTTGACTGATTAACTTGTACTGGTGGTAGGGAGATGCTGGAGCAAAAGTTCAAATAGCTACGCTGGGCCGGCGTATTGGTACGACCATCGCGTAGACGACGCTAGAGCCTGGCCAAAATAGAGCCGAGCCAGGCTGTCCAGTATCACGATCTCCACGCTGGGGATGGAGCACTGATGCCTGTAGCCAACTCCGAAGGGACGGGTGTTGGGAAGAGGGTGGCTCCCGGTTATAACTCGAGATAGCCTCCGCTGCGACATTGGCCACGCCAGGGTGTGTCATCAAAGTCAAACCGGGCGGAAATATAAAACAGACTCCGAAGCTGGTGGCAGATGAGTGGATCCTTGGCCGCTTGGCGGTTGAGAACTTCAACCACTGCCATGTTGTCGCTATAGAAGCAAACCTTCGAGCCGCGCAATGCTGAGCCCCAAACCGCCACAGCCACGACGATCGGGAAAAGTTCCTTGGCCGCGATGCCCGACGACGCGATCGGCAGTGAGCCCCACCGAACCTGCAGCCATCGCGTCAGCCACAGTGCACCACAACCCCAGCCTCCTGAGTCATCCGACCAGACCTCGACGTCTGAGTTACTGGCTCGTAGAGGTGGCAAGATGGACGTTCCGTTGCAAGTTGTGAGGAAGGTCGCCCACCATTCGATATCCGCCTGAGCTTCGCTGTTGAGGCACACCGAAAAATGTGGTTCGAAGGAACCTGTCTGGGCGAGGAGATTGTACAGGCAGCGCAAAAATACTCTGCCCGGGCGGACGACCTGCGAGGCATGTTGGAGCAAACCCACAAGAGACTCCAAGTCCCTGCGCTTGCCAGAGCGCTTGCCCCGCTACGTGGTGAGCACGTCGACGAGCCTGGACATCTTCACCTGCGGCAGTCTGAGCTCCATCGCTAGAGAGTCGACCTCGATGCCGAGGATAGTTAGGTAGGTTGAGGGACCCTCGGTCTTGTCCTCCGCTACCAGCACACCCAGCTCTGTGCAGGCTTGCATAAGCAGTCCAAGATCGCCGCCACACTTGACAGAGTTGGGAGGGCCGAGGATCACGAAGTCGTCCACGTGGTGGAACACGTGCGACGCCCCTCTCGACTTCACGATCCATTCGAGTGTGTCAGCAACGGCCGAGAAAATGATCGGCGCCGACCGAAGGCCAAACGGCATGGTGGAATTGCAAAACAGCCGGCCGTTCCATCGCATACCCAATAGCAGTCGATTGTCGGGGTGTGCTGGTACATGCCGGTAGGCATGCTTTATGTCCGACTTAGCTAGGAGTGCGCCCTGACCAAGGCTAAGGACGACCGATGCGATGTCCGCCACTGAAATGTACGAGAAGGAGCACAGGTCACGAGCGATCCCGTCATTGGCGCTTCTCCCGCGGGGACTGGACAGGTCAAGAATAAGCCGCCACTTATCTGGCTGGTGACGCTTGGGGATGACCCCAAGGCTGCTGACTTGTGTAGTGGCCTGTGAACTCGCTCGCCTCCCACATACGATGACACAACGTCAGGGTGGTCATACGCCGACCCCATATTCCGGGAGCACGACCAGAGCGAGCTTCGTAAGCCGTAATCGAAGCCGATCCGAAAGCCTTCGGATATCCCAGCCACGATGTATCGGACAAACTGAAAGCGCAGCGCGTTCTCCCGTGCCCGCCAGCGGAAGGAGGTGACAATGCCTGACAGGAGCTCTGGAAGCTGGACGGCAGTGGTAGGAGTGCACCTCGCCAGACCCCCTAGCTGTCGCATATACCGGTACTGCTCATGCCTAGCTGGCCCTGTGCCCACCTGCATGGGAATGAGAGAGATACGCCGCAATAATAGATTAGCTCTCCCATCGCAAGCTTCCCCGAGTCGGCACTAGGACACCCCGTGCAGTGCATGACAATAGTGACCAAAATTATCACACTCTATAAGGGCGGAGGAGTGCTACGGGTATAGCCCTGATGCCGAACGCCCGGAGCGCACCGCTGCTGCACCACGCATCAGCCGCAGCTTGACGCAATGACAGTTATAATAAAAATACAGACATGGTGAACGACACACAGCAATTACAGTGGTAACTGAAACGAGAATGATAGAGACTAGCAACGTGGAATAGGAAACGAAACAGATATGTGAGTATATGCAAGCACGGAATGACGGAAGGGAAGTGCCCCAACGATAGCACGGGTGCAGGGGTAGATGATGCCAGCGAAGAGGCTGAAATAGGGGAAAGATAGATGGTGTGAACGTACGGCATCAGACACTTCCCCGCATCTACTCTGGTGTGCGACAGCCGAATGCGCCTGACGGACACAGAAACCCGCGAGCTAGACCTACGGAACTTATCGCGCAACCCGGAACGAGTAATCGACCCGGGAGCGGGAGGGGACCACGCTAGATGCCCCACAACACTGAACTTGGAAGCATCGAGCAATGCCCGCGAGCTAGAACGAAGCCTATGGTAGCTAGGCATGTAACCTGCCGCAATAACGGAGAGCGTGCCAGTAGAGCAAAGCCCGAACCCCACCCAAGGCCAAGGGAGGGCACGCCATAAGCAGGTTCACTACTCCAAAACCCATCACTCGATGGGTTATGCACGCCACAGCCGACAGCGCGTGCGAAAACCCCGTGAAGCACTGAGATACGTATGCACGCTAAAGCAGCAGGTGTAAAGCCCCTGTAGAAAGCACAGGGCACGCACGCCAGGGCAGCAACGCAAAGAACGGGCATAAAACCCCACAAAGTGAGGCACGCACACCAGAGCAGCAATGCAAATGACTGGCATAAAACCCCACAAAGTGAGGCACGCACGCCAGAGCAGCAACGCAAATGACTGGCATAAAACCCCACAAAGTGAGGCACGCACGCCAGAGCAGCAACGCAAATGACTGGCATAAAACCCCACAAAGTGAGGCACGCACGCCAGAGCAGCAACGCAAATGACTGGCATAAAACCCCACACAGTAAGGCATGCACGCCAGAGCAGCATCGCAAATGACTGGCATAAAACCCCACAAAGTGAGGCACGCACGCCAGAGCAGTATCGCAAATGGCTGGCATAAAACCCCACAAAGTGAGGCACGCACGCCAGAGCAGCAACGCAAATGACTGGCATAAAACCCCACAAAGTGAGGCACGCACGCCAGAGCAGCAAGGCGTAAAACCTAATGAAATAGAACACGCACGCCAGAGCAATGCGGGTGTAAAACCCGAACAACAATGGGAGCAAGCACACCCAGAGAAACAAGAAAGTGCAGAGAGATGAAACTCACAGGGGCTCGCTCCGGCGGCCAACGACGCCGCGGGGCCGGGAGACGACGCCACTGCACCACTTCCTGACGGGGTACTAGAGGACGAGCCGGCGCCCAGATGCTGGAACAGTGACTGGAGCACCCTTGAAGCAACAGCATCGACTGAAACCACGGACACGCTCGGACCCGCAGCAGTCGTAACGTGGACGGGGCGGACGAGGCAACTGTCGTCGTAGATGATGACGAGACAGGGACAATTGCAGCCGACAAAGACATCGGAGCGAGAGCCATCACAGCAGACGTGGAGAACTTGCGAACAGCTAGAGAGCAGAAAAAGGCTGTGATGCTCAGAGCATTGCTAAGAGGACTGAATTCTGCCCTGCCATTGCGACGCTTTGTATTTTTGCCACGCGAATGATGGGGCATGCGCGTAGCACCTGGACATGACCGGCCATCTCACGTATTGACCATGCCCGCTATTACGTCAGCCGCGTTAACCTTCATTAACCCTCGCCTGCATGCATGCACATGCGAGGGTTAATAACACACCGGGAGATAACATAGTGACTTCCACAAAAACCTACTCATGCATGCTGAATGAGGTTATACTGTGCCATAGCATGGTTTATGCAGGTTTGCCTTTGTCTTGTGTTGTATCATGTGTGTATAATACCTGCTGAGTTGCCTCCATATCTCTGCTGGTAGGAGCACTCGCCTAGACTTCAGAGTGTTGTGGGTTCCAATCCCCAAGACAGTTCAAAACAGTTATCCTGGGTTTTTTTATTTGTTTCCCTCTGCTTTGATCTTGTTATTGACACATGTACATTGCACTGACGTTGAGGTATCTGCCAAGTATTATTTTTATTACAATGACATTGATATATACAGGAGCTACGAGCCCAGATGCAGGACCGACTGGAGCTGGCCGACTACCTCATCCTCCCAGTCTCCCGCATCACCAAGTGCAGTCTCCTCCTCTCTGACTTCAGGAAGCAGAGTGCCCGCTCGGCCCAGTCGGCAGGGCAGGTGGATGAGGCCCTGGTGGTGACCAGAGGCATCTCGCGACAGGCCAACAACGCCATCCACCTCGACATGCTGGAGGGACTCTCCAAGATGGAGGTCGGAGAACCCGTCCTCCTGGTTAGTACCTACCCTCTCTACTACATACTGTGTACCTCTAGTTTGGATGATTATAATGTCAAGTATGCACTTGAATGTCTGGGATGACTGCACAATGCGTATAATATTATACCACATTTTATGTAACGGTGGTCTGTACGTAAAGGAATGATTATAAGGGTTATAAGATATTCCTCCACTGGACAATATTGTTTAGTTATAACATACAATCTAATTTTAGCCCTTATGTATGTACGGCCACATTCCCTTTAACTGTCACACTCTCAAAGCAGTATCACTACAACCAGATTCACAAAATTGCTATCTGTTTTCGGTCCTTCCCGCAGGATACATTCAAGATCCAGGCTGGTGCCAAGCCGGGCTCCAAGCAGCGACAGGTGTTCCTCTTCCCAGAGTGTCTCCTGATTGCCAAGAGAGAGAGAGGACGGAGCTACTCTGTCAAGGACAAACTTATGGTACACATAACTTACTGACACGGAGAACTTTAGTACAACATGGCTTACGTGCTTTTATGAAAATAAAACAGGACTCCTCGGGCTTTGTCCAGATATTAGTTTCCATGATGATTGCAAAGTTTACTATCTTGGCGCACTGACATTTCAGGATTCATCCACATGTTGTTTTCGGGTTGTCTGACAAAGTTTGATATAGCTGTGTTTAACGTACAACATAGTTGGTCTTGTGTTGCTTTAAGGGAGTGCCTGTAAGTATTATCTGCTAATGGCGTCTGCAATTAACCTTATTTTATGGTACGTACATTACTGCACTGTGAGGAGTTGGTCCATATGTAGTGTGTGACTCCACAGCTGCAGGACATCTCCATGGCTCCTGACATGGACCCTCAGAAGAAGAACCTCATCATCTACGACATGAACTCGGGGACAAAGTTCACTCTCACTGCAGCCAAGTCGTCGATGAGGGAACAGTGGCTCTCCAAAACACAAAAACTCATTCAGGTAGCGTGTACTGTAGAGGCTCATTACTACGTAGTCTATCAATAAGTCAGAGTTAATCGTGAACTTAGTCATAGTAGCAATGTTACTGTTACCTTGAGATGTTTCGGTCCGTAACGTAGACCTTCCTCAGTCAATGGTGTACACCCACCAAAGTGCATGTTATATCCTGACTGTCTGCAAAAACATTAGCCATGTTAGTTAGCTATAGTGGAACGGATTTTTAGAGTTTCCATCATACAGAATATATCAATGTTTCAATGAGTGTATTACCCTCTGTCGAATGAGCATCTAAAATCATTGCTTCTAATCAAGCAACTATCTAGGGTAGCTCTCATGAAGCTACGTATGAAAATGCATAACTGATGGAGATGATGACAAGTAGATATACATACATCAGAGGCTGAGTTTACTGACAAATGAAACAGTAAACTATACAATACTCCTATCCCTTAATTCTTGCTATATGTACATAAGCATTGTATCACTTAGCCCTGGCTATATGTGAGCATTATATTAACCGTTGCTGTATCGATGTTCCTACCCCTCTAAAGTCAGCAAAGGCTGACACCTCCAGATCAGCGGCCGACAACAAGAGCCGTGCTGCCTCAGAGCCCCCAGAGCTGGCCCCTCACAGCCCGACACTGGCCAAGAAGGTGACGGCCCTCAAGAACTCACTGGTGTCCAAGAAACCCAGTTTCAGACTGGGCTCAGCCAAACGGCCAGACTCGACCTCCGCTCCCTCTGCCGTTCCTGCACCAACCTCCACTGTGGCTGAGACTAGCGATGAGGTATGGCTTGAAACCAACATTTGACATTGTACTTACTAGGAATCTATGTTTACTCTCTTTACGGCACACACGTTTAGGCTAAATTGTGCTCAGACACGCCCTGGCAATCTGTAACAGAATCTGCTCACGCATGTGGGGTACACAAGTTCCTTCGAACTCCCTCTTGTAGTAGTGCCAGGTGTGGCAACTGGCGTTAGTTGCCAACACTACATGCACTGCTAGAGTGCAGAGAAAGCAGCAGCAAGGTCCAATAGCTACTTCACTCACTCAGTGATGAAATGAAGCTAACAAAATGGACCCTATGCACACGGCATCGAATTAAATGTAGGTGTAGCCTTGTGTCAATGAGGTAGAATGGCAAGGGCAAAGCAAATGAGCATGTGCATGTAAAGCTCCAATTTTTGGTTTTTTTTTCATATAAATCAGGGTTTTCCAAATGAAGGTCACAAAAGAACAGGTTTGCCAAAGAGCAGAAGGAATAGTTCAATACGTTATGGGGAAACAGGGCTAGGGTTAGACTAGACAATAGAAACGGTAGACGACACCGTTTGAGCATTCACATCTCCTATTTTAACACATTTTCTCTGTCACTTGCTCAGCCTGTGGAGGGGACAGAGTACGTTGTCATGGAGTGTATTGTTCTGGAGGGAGGAGACGACGTCCAGCTTGAACCAGGGGAGGTCGTGACCCTAGTTAGAGTGGAAGGGGGCGGAGCCTCGCTGCGAGTACGCACAACAGATGCTCACCTGACAGAGGGTACTCTCCCAGCCACTTTCCTCCGTAAGAAGACCACCACTAATGGTGTGGACATGGAAGGTACGTACATAGCTATTGACTCGGTACACATGGCTTCGTATTACAGAGTACACGTAGTGTTTACATTACTTGTCCCCAAACAACCACTTTCTCTCCCTCATTCTACTTATTATGTGGCGGTATGGATTTAACTAACGCAATTGCATTCTTGGGTTCCATCTTCAGTACAATTAAGCCCTTACGTACAGCCACATTACCTTTAGTCTGTATGATGTATACGCAGCTGCACCCAAGTTCACCATGCTTCCCTCGGACCTTGACCTCCTGTACGGCACCACGGCAACCATCGCCTGTGCCTTCAATGGCTTCCCCAAACCATCCGTCGAGTGGCGCATGAACCGTCAAACTCTGACCTCCGCTGATAACCGTGTAAAGATCACTTCCTGTGCCACGTCCAGTATTTTGGAGATAATAAAACTGTGCTACGAGGACGTGGGGACGTATGCATGTTTCATCACCAACAGTGGAGGGAGCAACTCTGCCCACATGGCGCTCAATATGCACGGTGAGTGGGTGAAACACAACACCATGTGTGAAAGAAATGTAAAGGCAAAGCAAACAAGTCATTTAAAAAGAAGAGCTGCTCTAGGTGGGATTCGAACCCCCGACGCTCTGCAGTCTAGGCGAGTGCTCTACCACCTGGAGCAGAGAGGGGTTGCGAAAGATGTCAGTAGCAAGCGTAAAAAGCAAACTGTTACATGGGGGAAAAGTCGAAAGCAAATAACTAACTTTGCTTCCAGTGGCTGTAGCACCAGTCCATGCATGTTAGTTTCAGATAAGCAATCCTTTTCACCATCCATACTGTGATTTTCTCTGATCTGCTTTTAACAACTCCTGCTCGTGTAGTGAGATATTTGTAAGTGGTTATTCCACAGTAGATATATACAGCTATGCTGGGTGATGAGTGTGCAAAGAAAGGATCATGTGTACCCTGTGTATGCAAGTAGCTACACTGCGAAATGTGGCATCGCGCATTTACTGTCATTATAATGTGACAGTCAACATTGTTGTGACTATTGCAAGTATGACTCCAGGTCCACCAGCCAAGGTGGGGAAGCCAGGGGTGTCAAAGGTGACAGGAACCAGTGTGAAGTTAAAGTGGTCTCCTCCGGACGAAGAGGGAGGTAGTCCCATCACAACCTACCAGGTCTGTGCTTGTACAATACTGTGTATGACTATACGTAGTTATGACCCTCTACCATAGTGGGAGCTCAGTACTTGATCTTACTCTGTGTGTCTGTGTCTGATTTTCCAGCTTGTGTCTAGTGTTTGTACTGCCCTCATTCGAAAATTCACGTGCTATGCACATCAGAACAGCATATGAGTTGTGTGAGCTTACTTGGCTAAGAGGTTGAAGCAGTCCATCTAAGAGTCTAGCGTCTCTAGCAGTGCATACGCGGCTCTCCCCTCCACGCAAATAGAGTCGCGGAGGCAGCCTACTTACCACCGGCCGGCGTAGCACGTGTACCTGTCCACCTGCGCAATGCGTGCGTGCATCAGGAAACGCCCCTGCTGTATTACTCACTGCAGCAAATGGCGGCGTTCTGTGTCTGCCATGGAAGAGCTCCACAATCTACCGTAGTGACATGATCGCTTGATGTCTGTGCACACCTCCGTCGAATCTGAAGACGTTTAGTGAAACACTTCAAATTGTTCCGGTAAGAATATAGCGGGTTTAAAGAAGAAGAATATGATGATTACACGAAAAATCGTTGGAGGCTCGTACGAGGTTTTTGAGCACATGTATAGCTAGATATTGGCCCTTAGACTATTGCTAGTGTGTTTTGAAGGCCGAGTTTTGTGGTATGCCGATCACGTGAGATTTCACTTATGCAGTCCCTATCATAATTATAGAGCATTTACCGACATCGAATTAGTCTTGCATAATATGAGAAAAAATCATGTGAAGTTTGTACAATGTTCCCATTGTTTTATTTATCATTTGTTTCCGGTAGTGAAGTGTGATAAAGGGCTGCGAAAAAAGCGCACGTTTCCATTTCTATGTGTCTTTTTGCTAACTACCTACCTTCCAGAGTAACCAAATGAAGTGAATGTACGAGTAACATATCCGAAAACAAATAAACTACTACATACAATGGCCACTAGGGTGTTAGATATAAAAAGGTGATTTTCGTAAAACGACTGCGTTCAAGAGATTTATATGCGTTGAAAGAAAGCGAAAAAGTCAATGCATAATCATGCGCTGGCTTACCTCAACCTGATTCGCTTGCTCTGTGTACATTGCAGGCAAAAGAAGTTACAAAAAAGCATGTATAGACTCACGCATGCCATCTACAAGCCTTTGTCCGACTCTCCGCAAGCTAAAGTAGTAGGAGACATGCTTTAAAGACATAGTCATAGCCCAGCCCATCAATTAGCGGTACCGTGCATGCGCGTGACCAAGCTCTGTGCTAGTAACATTGTGTAAACTATGCAACCAAATGGATATGACAACATGCAAGTTAAGCGTTCATATTTGAAGGGCAAGTGTGCAACATGTGTACCACGCAATAAACAGTCTAGAATTCCTATTCAGTATTTCTTATTGCGCTTGCAACTCCTGGTAGCCCCTGCGCCTTCTGGAGAGACACAGTCTCACACCATTTGCAATGTCACTCAATGCCTCCTTGCAACCTGGGCCATGGAACTGATATCCAAACCTTGTCAGTGTGTGTTTGGTCAAGGTATAGCCAGCCCACAGAGCCACCAAAATATGTGGTGAGAGATAGATGGCAATGAATGTCAGTTCAAGTCTGTAGGTTCCAACAGATGGCTTATGTTCCCAGAGGTAAACTGTACTTTTCAAAGTTGCAAGCAGGGTTGTGTGGAAAACAAAGGATATATTTGCAATTCTTGAGTTCCAAGGTTTCAGATATGGCAATACATATGCAACTATCAGCAATACTGCAATTATTCCAATGCCAAAGCCAATGAATTCAAATAGCTTTTCAAATGCCATGTATACTAGTAAGACAAATAATGGTGCTCCAGCCAGTGCTCTGTAGTCACGAGTTCCATTCAGACCATCTTTGAAACAGCTGTGGAGAGCCTCAGAAAATGCCGTGATGGCCAGTCGCTTCCTGGCACTCAGAAACCTTGACAGATATCGGTACACCCTTGTTGGGTATAGGCATAGAAGGACAGAGGGAATCACTGAGACTGAAATAGAAATAGTTAATGCAATGGTCAAAACCATGACTGGCTTGAGACTAGGCCACTCCACTGTTGGATCATGGTAAAGGGATTTTCTCTGAAGAACGCCTGTGGAGTTTTGTATGGTGGTGCCATGTATAACTTCACACACTGCAATCAGCACGGTATTATTCGAGAGGAAGATAAGTGATGCAAAAGCGTGAAACACAGCGTCACCAGTCACCTCTGTGATGTTAGCTTTGCTAAGAACGATCTTAAATGGCTTCCACAGAATTCCAACAATTCTACAGTTCCTTGCATGCAGCTCCATGAGAATACAGGATATGATGACAAGAACAAATGGGTAGGTTGCTGGTACGAAATTCAGCATTTGAATATGAATGCCCGTTAGTTTCTCGCTGATACAAAATGGAGGAAGTACCACCTTAAAAAATTGCAGGCTCCAAAACTGAGACACTGCCACAGACAGAAGAAGCAAACATTTCGGGAATGCAGGCAAATGTGATTGTATGTAGTCATATATGTAAGTGTGTCGGTAAGTTATTGATTCTATGCTTATCTGACAGAAAAGCACATATCCCATCAACGGGCCTGAGGTGATGTTAAAACGAAAAACAACCAAGCAAATAAAAATTAATGTTGGCGGAACAAACTGAAGAAACAGGTAGAGCGTTATTGCATATCCTGACCAAAGACTGGAGCAATTAGCACACTTCCAATCGAATGAATAAACAGCAGGGCCATAGCCATCCTTACACTCCCCACACAGCAAACCTTTTCTGTTGTAAGGACCACACATCACCTCATCCAACTGACTAGCATTGCTTGGCATCTCTGAATACCATCGGTTGGTATTGTTTATAGGATGAATGAAAGGACATTTGCCAATATAATAGTCATTTTCATGCCGAGAGGTTGTTGCACATACTTTGTTGGTAATCTCCACCTGGTTGCCATCACTGCTGCAGTGTAGGCCAAATCCACACTCACACTTTCCTGTGGCATTGTTGTAGTAGTGCCAGGTTGGGCAATTGGTGCTAGTAACCAACACAGAATACAGAGACACATTTACTGCCACAATGCAGAGAAAGTAGCAACCAATAGTTCTGTGAAACATTGCGTTTCTTTGCTGTACAATGGTTCTGGCAGTAGTGAACTGGTATCAGTAATAGAGTTAAATCAGACTTACCTCGAGCGACTTGTCTCTGCGCAAACTTTAATATAATTATATCTCTGGACTCCTTTCAAACTCAGGTTGTGCTTCACTTGAAGTCTTCCAAGAATTATGAGCCTGACAGGTCATCTGAAGGTCCTTTGTTCCACGGTCATTGTTGCCACATGACTTGATACACATTAGACTTTTTATGCGCACAGAGTATATTGTGGCTGAGTAATACCAGAATTACGAAAGTTTACTCTACGAATTTTGTGGGTGTAAAAGCAAGCATTGCCCACCAAATATTAAAGGTTCCTTCCTCAAACTTCTCCCACGTACTTTATTACGGTGTGTGTTGCCAGTAGGATGCAGTAATGTGCGAATGACCTTGTTACTTTATTTAAGACTATGTTTTGAGTCACGAAATATGTTTTTGTTACTCAATGCATAGTACGCTGTACGAAGAACAGGTTATGAACATGGGTTGCGAGCTAGAAACAAAAAAATGGCTGACCAGCAAATTTGACTCAAAACTTAATTGAGGAACCAACCGCAAATTGGGCCATAACTCATTTCACCCTTCATGGTGTGACAGAAGGGATGAGACTATAACCCTCCCGCTACTCAGGTGGAGATGTTACAGGAGGGGTTCGAAGACTGGCAGCCCATCATCCAACAGCCCAAGACCACCTTCATCGTGAAGGCCCTCCAGCCATCCACCTCCTACCAGTTCAGAGTCCTGGCATGCAACCAGTACGGGGCGGGCCAGCCGAGTGACCCGTCCGACACTGTCACCACAAAGGGTCGTGGTTGGCTCAGTTCCTCTCCCAGCAACACCAGGAAGAAAGAAGGTCGGCAACATACTGCATTACTTGAGTGTACTGTATCCAGCCCCTCTATCACACTGGTTTCTATGAGTGCAGCATGCATTATCCCGTACTGTTATGAGCAAATTAAACTCAGTGTGCGCTCTGCTATGCCCCCGTTTGAATCTATCCATTGGTCGACGTATGTAGGGCACAAATTATCAAACTCCCATGCGCTTAAGGGCTCCTTTTCTTCCCCAGTGTATACCATTGGGAGTTTATTTGTGTTGTTTACAATGCCCTAGCCAGTGAATGTTATGATGTTAGAAAGACTTTCATTTTCCTTGAGAAATTGTTTACTTTGCAGAGGTCAACGTTGTACACACTGTTTCAGTACTTGCATACTAACTCCATTACAACCCTCATGACTCGACTGTGTAGGAACAAGCCACCCAGATAACAGCTATTACATTTTGCATAAACACTTTGCCGTAATTGCTTAGTAACCTCCTTGGTATATCTGAGGTTAGAAAATCTTATTTAGCTCTCCTATTCACATACTTGCATGGTCTCATCATAAATAACTACACGGTGTAGGAACGGACTACCCAGATGGTGGTGGTGGTGGTCAGGGACTGTTTGATGACCTGGCAGGAGAGGAGGGGAGTGGCTCCAACATTATGAGTCCTCCAGCCCAGTTTATCAGACGAGGCTCCATCCACAGCGAATATGATGTACTACCTGAAGAACTGGGACGGTATGTAGGGTATACTGACACATATTTGCCGAGCACCTGAGTGTAACAAACTAATTCTGCATTAAATCAGTATATTATATACTGATATGTGTCACACGTAGGTTAGATCTACAAATGTTACCCGCACAGCATGACTCCAGAACGAAGACGACTTAACTCGTAAAGTGTTGAATCGGGAACAGCTGGAACAATTCTCCACACCAAGCATTTATACAGCCGTACTCCACGTATGTACATACATGTGACACCAATGAGGTAGCAAGGCAAAGACAAAGCAAACAAGTCAAGTGTACCCAAGACAAACTCTTTTCTCCAAGTAAAAAAGAAGAGCTAACCCTGGGTGGGATTCGCTTTCTAGGTGAGTGCTCTACCAACTGAGCTCCAGGGCAATCGGCTGGTAGGGGGTTCAAATCATCAACACAATACAACACAAAGGAAAACCTCAAACCACTGTGCTATGGCACAGTATACTTTCACTCAGTATGTAGGAGCAGACCAGGGTAATTAAACCACCGAAGACACCTAACTCAGAACTGAGTATATTCATTTGCATGCATACACACCTGCACCCAGAGTCCAGCTCATCCATCCTCATTCCACGTGTACAATACCATGAGCACATGTGCAGTGCATAATACTATGTGTACCAGTATCACCTAATAGAGTTTTATAACTCGCTAGTGGATGATTGCCAGTTGTCACAGCTAGTCCCAAGTTATCCTTAGTTGTCCTATGTATGTGTATAGAGCGCCCGCGCCTAGACTGCAGAGTGTCGTGGGTTTGAATCCAACCCAGGGTAACTCTTCTTTTCTCTGAAAAGAAAGAGCTGTCCTGTGGTGTAGTTGACTTGTTTGCCTTGCCTTGCCTTTCTACCTCGCTACCAAGTTGTTGAGACATGTATGGGGAGACAAAAGAAGCAGACTTCGTCCATAGTTACAAATATAGTTTCCTCTTCTGCAATAGTAGTCATATGTAAGTTGAGATAGAGCTCATCAATGCTGCCATTCTTTTGCATCTCCCTCATTTCAGTGCATAATCATAAAACGGAGAATATTTCAGTTTAGAAAAAGAAGCTGTTGTTGTTCTTGTTTTGGGGAAAGCGCTCTGAAACGACAGTCTTGCATGCTCCAGATTGTTTAAGACAAAGTTGAGAGTGAATATGAGAAACTCTTTTGCCCTCATTGGACTGCTACTCACTGTGATTGGTTGTTGCGACCTTGTCTTCTGCTACAAGCATGTCATCTCAATTGATGCCTCCAATGGTCATGACAATTCCAGCTGCTTACAGCTAAGTGGACCATCTTGCCAGACCCTGGAATATGTCCAGACACATCTCAAGTCAGTTACAAGTGGCTCTGTGGAGATAGAACTCTGCCAGCCAGGAATTAACTTGACAAAGCCCTCAATTTTACAAAATCACAAACTTGGCTATAGTAGGAGCGGAAAATTCCCAACTGGACTTTCATTCAGTGCAACTCCTCTGGTTCTGGACTGACTTTTATCAATGTGACAGGGCTCTCTCTGAACTACATACAGTTGTTTGGTTGCGGAGCCGAGAGGGACTACTCTGTATCTGACATGTCAACTGAAGTATCAGCCTTGGCCCTGCTCAACTGCCGTGATGTAAATATCACCAACACTCTTGTCCAAAGGTCAAATGGTACTGGCATATTGATGATGAACACATACGGAAATGTCCTCATTGATAATACCACTGTCCTAGAGAGCTATCTGGAAGGTAATAGCTCTTGGCTGGTGTATGGTGGCAGTGGTTTGAGCATACAGTTCAATCCCTGTCCATTGACATTTATCCACGAACACACAGAGAATGCTAATAACTATGCACACGGTTATGGTTCTTCTACCTACACAATCAGTAATCTCTTAACTGCAAAGAATAGGGGTAAAGCAACAAAGAATCAAAATCTCTCCTGTGGCCAAGCCAAATTTGGAGGAGGTGCGTGGATAGTGTTAGGAGGTAACACAAGCAATGTTAACATTAGCATCAGTGATTCCACTTTCAAAGACAACTATGTAGAGTCTTGTGGGGCTGGGATGCTGATATTGATATACAACTCGTCTAACAACAACAGAATATCGGTACTAGGTGCAACCATAGAGAACAACACAGTTGGAAGTCAAGAAGTGGGAGGGGGGCTCCAGATCTTTTATTCTGCTTGTTTTGGTGGAACAACAATTCCTAGCAGTTTCCCCACCAGTACATTGGAGTTTGTGTCTTGCAACTTTGACAACAACAGGGCATATTCCGGGGGAGGTGTCAATATATACTCCAATGAATTACCTGGTGGAGATGACAAGAGAGCTGTCCACTTCATCAACTGTTCGTGGACTGGGAATACTGCATCGCGATACGGGGCAGCAGTCCACATAATGGCTGGTGTGTTTGTGTCTGGAGTTAGGATACACTATCATCCGATAGTGTTTACTGACTGCAAATTCGTATCTAACAAAATAGTGCCAGCAACATTTCCAGGAGATAACCTTCTGGTTCAGTTTAATGGAGGAGGTGCCTTGTTTTCCAATGTTGTCCCTATTATTTTTGATAGGAACACAACCTTTAATGACAGCAACGGAACGGCTCTCTGCCTCAGTAGCAGTATTGCATCGTTTCGTGTGGGTCCCAGGTTCTGTTTCATAACAACAGGGGAAACAATGGTGGGGCAGTGTCCCTAGTGGGACGGTCATATCTGTATTTGAATGGATCTAGTAACTTTTCTTTTATCAACAACCACGCAAAGAATCTTGGTGGGGCCATATACTCTATTAGTATAGACTCCATAGTCTACCAGCCTTGTTTCATTGATCACCTCATTAAGACAAACAAGTCGGTTTTTACTTTCAGTGGTAACCACGCTGGTGATGGTCGGGGCCATCACATATTTGTGTCGTCGCTTTATTCATGCAAACTCTATTGCAATGACAGTTCGGGGGATGTGTTGGATTGCGTTGGAGTGTTTACTTTCAGTGATCCTCAAAACAAAACTACGGCTACTCTCCCATCAAACTTCAGTCTCTCAACAAAACATGTCTCTCTGTTCCCAGGACTCTCCTACAAGCTCCCATTGCTTGCAAATGACTCAGAGGGAAACAAAGTACCCAGTGTATCGTACCAAGCCAGCATAGTTGGTAATGACTCAGGCATGGGGTTGACCCTGCATATGAGTATGTATCTGCCAACAACATCAGTGTCTTGGGGGAACCTGGAGAGAATAGTACCCTGCGTTTGGATGCTCTATCGACTGAAACATCCCTCCTAGTGGAGATTGTTCTAGAAGAGTGTCCTCCTGGTTATGTACTGAGTGATAGTAAGTGCATCTGCAGTGCATCTACCTACTATGGACTGCTGAAATGTGATCCAGAAGCATACATCCGCTATGGAGTGTGGATGGGAGAATGTGACCATCAAACTCTCTGTACAGCTGATTGCCCCGTTGGTTTCTGCTCTTACAATACAACTGACAGTACAAGGTCACTGTACCATCCACTCCCCATGGAGGTAGAAGAGTTGGAAAAGGCTGTTTGCTCACCCGCAAGGACTGGCACCATATGTGGTAGCTGCATTGCCAATCACTCTGTGTACTACAACTCATGGTACTACTACTGCGGCAACGAAGACAACTGTTCTCTCGGTCCACTTTACTTTATCCTCTCGACAATCGCCCCACTAACATGCCTGTTTCTGGTGATAACACTGCTTGATGCGAACTTTGCCAGTGACTGGAATGGGTTCCTACTCTTTACCCAAGTGGTACACAATTCCTATCTATACGGAAATGGAACTATTCGTTTACCACATATACTATTTCAGACTCTTGGATGGTTCAGGTACGTCTATGGCATCTTCAACTTGGAGTTTCTTCAAACTAATGAAACAGCCTTTTGCATATGGAAGGGTGCTAATGTCATGGACATAATGATGGTCAAGCTTGGTTCCATCTGCTTTGCTCTCAGTCTTGTGCTTCTTACTGTGTGCGTGCTGAAACAACGTCGAATAGTCAAATATTTTCCCTGTCTTTTGAGGCGACGCTACTCTGTCGTGAATGGTATATCTGCCTTCTTCATCCTCTGCTACGCTCAGTGTGTAAACATCTGCTTCAAGGTTCTTGTTTCAACCTGTATCTTTGATAAGGACCACAACTGCCTCAAGTATGTCATCCTACACAGTGGCAACATGGAGCCTTTCAGTGGAGAACACCTCAAGTATGCGATGATTGCAATAGTATTTATGTTGCTTATAGTTGCCCTCCCACCAGTCCTGCTCCTCTTCTATCCTCTGTTCTTCCGACTGCTGGGACTGTGTAGTCTCAGTGAGTCTCCGTTTGCCATGAGACTGTGGAGAATGATGCCCATCACAACTCCTGGACTCTGTACAGAACCCCTTCAGGGACAACTGCCGTTTCTTTGCCGGGCTCTATTTCTTGTACCGTGTCCTCATCCCACTGCTAGATGTCACTGTGGGTAACCTGGTGGAGTATTATGCTGGAGTGGAACTGATTCTTTTAGTTATAATCGTTCTGCATGCAGCTTTCCAGCCGTACAAGAGCCGAGTGCCACAACATTGTTGATCTTCTC